GATGGGGGTGGTGGTGGAGGTTTCTTAGATGGGGGTGGTGGTGGAGGTTTCTTAGTTGGGGGTGGTGGTGGAGGTTTCTTAGATGGGGGTTTCTTAGATGGGGGTGGTGGTGGTTGGAAGATTGAAAGGGATTGTGTTAGAGGAGGTGGGGGTGGTGCTTGAGGCTCATTTGGTGGTGGTGGTGGTGGTTGGAAGGTAGAGGGCGATTGTGTTGGAGGAGGTGGAGGGGTAAACAACGCTGAAGTCAACGAGTTTGCCTGTTCAATCTTGTAGAGCGATTCACAATGACTAGGATGGTGGGCAGTTTCTGATCCAAAAGAGTCTACAACTGTCCACTGGTTCGTATCAGGAGATGAATCTAACTCAATCACTGGCGGAGTGTAGCTATTGCTATTGTTCAATTTTTCAGGCGATATTTGACTGGAATCTAACTCAATCAGTGGCGGTATACAGCTATTGCTGTTGTTCGATTTTTTAGGCGAGGCTCGGCTGGAATCTAACTCAGTTTTTGGCAGGACACAGCCGCTTACAAGGGTTGGGATTTGGCTTGTTGAGATTTCACTCTTTGTTGACGAAACTTGATTGGATGTCGAAACACTTGAATGAGCAGGCACTTCATCTGTCCCTGAAGGCTGCAGATCTAGGAGCGTTGGTTTATCTACCTTATGTGGCTTACTGATCTTTTGGGTTAGTTCTGTATTACTGTTGGTGGAATTCTGTTCCGTAATTATTTGAGGAAGACAACTACCTATTCCATCCGTTTCAGAGTCTGGCATAGAAACTGAGGAGGAGCTGTCCGCAAGGCTGAGGATAGATATTGAACCACTCTTAGGAAGGAGCGATTCTTCTGTCTTCGAAGGCTGTGAGTCTGAAAGCGCTAGTTGATCTATCTGACAAAGCTCACTGATATTTTGGGTTTTTTCTGTACTAATTTTTGAGGAGTCCTCTTCGGTAATTCTTGGTAGAGGATTAATGTTCATATCATCCACTCCAGAATCTACAGTTGAGACTGCAGAGGAGCTGTCCTTTGGGCTGAGGGTGGATAAAGGTGGCTGATATTGGAGCACGGGAGACTTGATGGTTTCAGCATAATGCCAATCACTGGAGGGTTTTAGATAACTGGAATTGTGATCGTAGAAACTACTATCTAGAGGCTCTATATCAAAATCAAAATAATCGCATTGCTTGGTAGGAGAGGTGGGTTTGTTGGGAAGAAATGATTGGTATTGGCTGAATTTTGTATTATCTTGAAGGAGTGATTTCAGAGATTTAAATCGTGATCTGAAGTCAGGGGATTGTGTCTGACTGACATCCGCCATAATTTTGAGATCTGCAGATTTTTCAGGTTCAACCGATCCTACACATGTGCTGTTTCCTATGTCAGTAGGTGACTGACAAATTTCCATGTCCACAACTTCATTATTGAGATCTGATTTGAGATTTTCATCACTGGGCGCACTAGGGGGCTTGTCGTGCCCAACGCCTGACAGGGTTTCAAGAAGAGGTTTTACCAATCCCAACTTTTCGCTGGTTCCTAAGATCGAGGATGGTTCCAAGTCCACAATTTTGTTTCGGCGATTTGCATTGATATCTGATTTTTTACCATTTGGTGTTCTCGAAAACTCATCGCAACCAATGTCTGAGGTGGTAAGAGATAAGTAATCACTACCTTCACAAGACTCGTCTAACACAATCTCTGAAATTTTTCCACTGTCACTATCACTGCTATCAGAACTGTCATCACTTGACTCTTCGGCACTTTCGTCACTGTCTTCACTGCTGCTACTCGAGTTAAGTTGGGCTTCTAAACGCTTCTTTTTGGGTGCTGGTTTAAGACACGCAGATTCCAACTTCCTTTTCAAGGCTAATTTACACCAATTGAGTGCTTCATCGAGCCCTGAAGACAGAGGACAAGCTTCTGGAGCTTTAGGTGGAGTTATACGGGCCATTAGGGGTGGTGTTTTAGAGGGAGTTGGAGTTTTCAAGGGGGTGGTGCGAACTGATTTCGGAGAGAATGATGGAGGATTAACCAATCCTGTAGACGCAGGGGAAATGTTGGCCTGATTCTCTTTAAGCTCTTTCTCTAAAGATTCCGCCTTCATAAGTTCACAGCTTGTCTGCCAAAAGTACCGCCCTTCAATTTTTCCTGCTTTGGGATAAAATTTTTTATCGTATGGCGTGCAGGGTTCACTGAGACCCAATATCTCAGGTGTGTACTGTCTGAAGAGTGACAGAACTTTGATGGCAAAAACTTTATTCTCAAGATAAGTATCTTTGATTTTGCTGTAGATTACATTGGGTGATCTTTCATATTCAGGCAACCCATATTTCATTTGCCGCAGCATGCAGTCTCCTATGTTAGAGAAAGATTCATCCTTCAGGCGATTAGTCAAAATGTTAGCAAAACTTTCATCCAACGAAACTCTTCGCCGAACTGAACAAAAAGCTTTGGAAGCCATTTTAGATGTCATTTTATCACAGTCGATCCGTGGAAGTTTCCACCGCTTTCTCTGAACTTTTTCGCTCTTTCCCTTATTTTCACATTCTACCTTCCAATTTTCATGTTCCTTCCCAGATAACCTCTTAAAAGTTAGGGTGAGAGAGCTTTTATTCCGAGAGGCAGAACTTCTGTTTGAGGATGCCTTCTTGGCCAAGTCGCTGGTTGACTTCAATCCAGAATTATCTGGCTGCGATTTTTTCGACACAATAGGAGCTGTTAAGTCACCTTCAGGACAGTTTGTTATCTTTTGGTTGTTATTTTGATCTTCTGAAAGGCCTTTCTGTAACACCACAGATAGTTTAGTCATAGCTGATCCTTCGGGCCTGAGCTCCTGCCGGTTCAACTTGGAGATATATTTAGAAGATAATTGGGATGAAACTCTATCAAAGGATGTATCAAGCAGAAGATTTTGTGGACTCACAGTTTGATTTCGGTGACTCACAGACTTTGAACAAGTTTGCTTCTTCTGCATGTAATCTGCCAAAGATAACTTGGCCTTCGTCGGGGGTGTACTTGAGTCAGTGTCTGCATCTGACTTAGCCTCTTTATTACCTGGAGAAATCTGCGAAGATGCAATTGAGGTTGTTGAGCTGGATACACAATCCATTGAAGTTTGTTTGTTTTCTGATCCACTTTCAAGCTTTTCTTTAGGCGTTAGGTTCAACTCAGAGTACGATGTAAGTTTCACTTCTCCAGTAGCGTTTCCTACTTTTTCATCTGCTGTTAGATCAAAAGAGGAAATGCCTTTGGCGAAGGGTTCCACACTATCATTCGAAAAATTAGACAATTCGCCTTTGGACTGAGTTTTAGGGCTGGAGGTGTTATCAGAGAGTGTTTTAATTTTTTCTGATATAATCATTTCCTCACCTGAGTTCTTCATTGGTACCGAAGAGAGGCCAGTGTCATTTGATGTTCTTCTTTCTTCTTTAGTGCACTTTTTCAACAAAGTCGAAGCAGAATTTGCGACTGAAATTTTACAGGATTCTTTTGGTTTCTTATGAATGACAGCCTTTTTTAAAGGACTTTTCCTGGGCATAATGTAATTACCTGCAATTGCACTTTCAAAAGATTCTATTGGTTTCTTCAGGCTGCCTGCTCCTTTTGATGCACTTTTTTTCGGCATCATGGAATGACCAGCTATAGCACTTTCAAAAGATTCTATTGGTTTCTTTTGCATGTCGGCCCTTTTCGAGGGGCTAATTTTAATACCTCCACTTTTATTCTGTGGAGAACTCATTATGGATTTATTCAGAGCTACGGAACAAGGCAGAATTTTCAGAGAGGACTCAGACAACCTTCGTTTCTTTGTGATTTCATTTTTCCGGCTTGGTGTACTTGTATCAACAGACTTATTTGGTGCAGAAGTCTCTAAAGGTAGAGGTTTGTCTTCCTTACTGCTACCTTGACTAGAGGTACGCGAGACCACTCTTTTCCTTTTTGAACTTTTACTCGGTCGATCAAGCTCTAGGGCATCTGATTCTAGAAAAGCATCCTCATCTTTCAAACTAAGTTCTGATCTCAAGTCATCTACTGACAGAGAATCGTCACTATTGGCATTAACTTGGAACAGAGGACTATTTTGAACAATTGACTTAGTACGATTGCAACTGGAATTGTAACCAGAGTCAAATAGCAATGAATGCGCATCACTAATGTGGCTTGGTGTTGAGACGCTTTCAGTTTTAGAAGAGCGGTAGGGAGAGGAAGGGCTGCGAGATAGGTTAGTAATATCACAGAGCTTGTTCATTAAGCCAGGAGAATCAGAGTGAGCAACTGATTCTCGTGACATAGGACGGTTAGGAGAATTAGTAAGGGAGAAACTATCGGTGCACAGTGAATCTTCGGTAGCAATGCCATTGGAAGAATCGGGACTGTTGCTTTGGAGACTCTCATCTGCTGTGGAAGCTTTCGACTCCATATCTAAGTGAAATAAGTTTCATACCTTTAAATCTAGATCACCGGTGGTTTGAGGTAGGGCGAATACATGGTGGTAACGGAATTGATCAGCAGGATGCGTGAATCAAGAATAAACAAAACAATCCCTCGTGGTTTTAAGTGCAGTCATCTCCGGCGGAATTTGATTGTAGTAACAGGAACAAGGAGCACTGAATCTTCAAGCAATAGGAACAGATTAGAAAGTAAAGTAACGGAAGCCTGAACTGGTAAACAAAAGAGGGTAGGCATTGGCTTTCGGGTAAATCCGATGGGTTAGAATTATTGAATGGTCTTTTGTATTGGTGAGAAGGGGGAAATGACAATGATAGGCTGATCGAAATGCCGGCAGTGCAGGGGGGCAGTTGATTGGCTGCACTCTGCACTTGGCAGTTGCAGATAGAGCGAGAAATAGAGGGGAGGGGAACCACCTGCTCTGTGTTAAGCATCATAGCCAGATTGCTCTAAAAATTCAGAACAATTTCTCAGTAAATTCAATATGAATATCTACATTTTTCCGCACAACCTGGCAACTACAGCCTCACAGCTGCTTCAAGAGAAGCAATAAATAATAGAGCTCTTTCAGAAGTAAAGTAATAAAAAACGAAGTAATGATGTTGCCACGTTGCAGCTCAATGTTGTCAAAATGCACAGTGGGGAGACTAAATGTCCGACAGGGTGCAGGCAGGGATTCAATATTTAATGGAAGTTATATGGAATCAAATTTCATGAAAATTACATTGAATCAAATTTCATAAATTATTTTAAGACTGCTGCCACAGGCACCATATGCCCGAAACGCGTTCTTAATAACGCAAATCCTAATTCTGTTTTAAAAAAAATATTTTGAGTCGAATCTCCAAGTTCCCTATTGAATTCTCGGATGATCTGATGCCGGTTGGATAGGCATTATGCAGCCTATAGTATTGTTGAAATTTTAAAGGAAATGAAAATCCACGTATCTGCGTTTTTTGTACATTTCTGGGCGTGGAACAAGGACGTTCAGAGGGCCTCACTGAGAGGGGTTTAGGTTTCAGCCATGGGAAGAGGTTCTCCAGGTCTCTAGGTAGGGGATGTATCGCACATGAATATGAACATTTTTAACACAAATCTGAGGTCCCTACTAATTTGGAGGAAAATAATTGTGAGAAATAAATGGAGTAAAATCCGCAATACTACCTATACAAAGTTTTGTGATATAATCTTGTTTGAGTGCTTACCACTTTTCCCCCTTAAAGAAAAGAGGTCCTGAGGGTACAGCTGGGAGTGGATTATTAGAGTCCACATACGTAATAGGACACACTTCCGCTTCTCAGAAAACAAGTAGGACTCAACAGAAGAACACAGCAGCAGATTTTATTGGCAGCATTTTTTATATTCTAGCCACAATAACACATGGATGAGGAAAAGCAAAAAGTAAATTAGTGATAGGTACATCGATTTTCTTGAGCTTAATTTCTTGACGAAAACATTAAGAGAATTTTACTTACCTCGTAAGTATATCAGCCAGCTTTTTGCACATTATCCAACTGAATAACTTAAGTGTCAGTGTCTTCGATGAATTGAGGGATTGCGTTGCTAGCAACAATTATTTAACGGGAGTATGTAGTTTGTAAAGAGCAAAAATGTTTTAAGGAGCCACTCTATATAGTAGTAAAATTGACTGAAATGAGAGTAAATTTTTTTCATCTCTCAGTAAGACCCAAAGTTTAGTATTCCAATGCCTAGGCTGAATTTTACCCCTCATCACTCTTGCATTGAAACTCATAGGAGTTGTGACTCTAGTAATGCTGATGTTTGGATTAAATGTTATACATCAAGTTCCCTTTCTAATTGTCATTTTCTTTAGAGAAAAGTGTTGGACGAAAAGATTCCAATGTAATCCTCTCCCTATGAGGGAAATTAAAAAATTTCATGATGAGATAATGTCGGGAATAAGACTTGGTGAGAGGCACCATGTCAGGAATAAGATTTGGATATGGGAGAGCGGAAGAAAATAGAAAGATAATAGAATTTTGGGACGCGGAAAGAATGTTGTATTGAATGAATTTAGACAGAATAGAAATATAAGAGAGTCACACTTACAGTAAAATACGCCAGAGGGGCTTGATAGGGCGCAACATGTGTACACATGGGTCAGGGATGGAATGGACCAAGAATATTGGGCAACTCACACTTTTATGGACTTGATTGCATCACGGGTGGTGAGACTTCAAGTCTATACACGATTGGCTGTCTATAAGCAATGTATCTACAACTATAATCAGTGTAGCTATCAGTTGCAAGTCTAGTCATTAATTTTATAGGTGATGGCTGGATGATAGTAGTAAAAAGACGAAAAATGAGCAGAATCTAGCCATCCCTGATGACTAGTTAATGATTAAAATGAAAATTGAAAATTGAAGAAAAAAATATGGGTAAGTGTTGACAGATGATGGATAGGATTAAGTCATATATTTTCCCTCCAAGAAAAACTAGTATTAATTTACAAGGTGAGTCTACGAGTTTTTTTGCTATTGTGCGTAATTTCTTCCATAGTTTATCTGGCTTTTTATTAAATCTAATTTTTGAACCAGAACAGCACTTGCTGTATTGCTTCCTCTATTACCTATATCAACAGTGTAAGTCGGCAATCACATAAATCAGTTAGCGATGTCGCAGACTTCCTGTCATGCTTTATTTTTTAAACAGAAAACTGCTGAACGGCAACTCTTTAAAACTGCCGTGATTTTTCTCCGCTGTGCACAGAAAATTCTGCAAATACTTCAAGCAACAATGTCAATTTGTTTTCCTTTAAAAAATAACATAGAGCCGGAGATTTTCAGACACCGCAAACAAGTTATGTGATTGCCGACTTACACCGTCGGTATGTTTTACTCAGGTTGGTTTGCTTGTTTTTTTTTTGTGCAGGTAGTTGCGTTGTTCCCACTGGAAATTTAAAGCGAATAAGCATGTAAGTAAATCAAGTATTTCCATTTTTTTCTTTCTTGTTTTAAAGTAGACTTTTCATTTTTTATTCAACTTGATTTAATCTTTGAATTATCTTGTTGCATGGTATATTATTGACTTGATGAGTAAGAGCCACTGATGGTGCTAAAGCATAATAAAATATTCTAAAATATTACACAAATTTTTAAGAATTTAAAAAGTTACAGTTGCGAAACCAGTTCAGGGAAAAGAGGTGAAGCAATTTCAAGGCACTGCAATAATAATGAAAATAATTGTAAACAAGATTTATTTTACTTTCTTATAGTGCAGTTTGATAAAATTCATTGTCAAGTCTCTAATGAAAAAGCACCCTGGTGCTGCATGGTTAAAACTAAGATTTTGATTTAAAAAAAAAGTCAAGTTCTGGGAGGGAGGTCAAATCCTATGTTGCAAGTGCGTTACAGGAGGAGGGAAGGCGTTCATAACGGAGTTACGTAACATAGTCATAGAAAATCTAAGATGAGACTTCGACATTTGGTGAGAAATTTTTTCTGACTTGCTAAATTTTTTCGAAAATTCTTCGTGGATCACATTTTCGAAGAAACTTCTGGTAGGTAGAAATTTTCAAATCATTGAGATCACACTTTAGAAATCTTGATTTATAGTAAACTCATTGGGTCATGTCATGTTCACTGGAAGTCACAGATGCTCCCATCAGTGACAGTTCTGTAAAGTTGGACGGTTCATGGTTACTGATAATGGTGACAGTCTCTCTTACTCTCACCCAACACCTATAAAAAGAAGTTTTTAGAAAATTAAATGGGCATCAAAATGTGTGTCACAATATTTTTATCGATACATGCATCAAACTGTGGAAGGTGTCTACAATAAAATTTGAGATAAAACGCTATACTATAAAACTTTAGGAGTTTAGATATGAAAGTGGAAGAAGATTTAAAGAGAGAAAGAGAGATAAGTTGCGTTCGTTTGTAACTGAATGGTCAGCAATGCTGAAAGATAGCAGAGCTAGAAATCAATGCTGGCATGACATGACAGCCGAAGAATCCTTATGCTTGATTGATCTCTACTGAGAGCTGATGAAAAGTGGAGTCTTTGAAAGAAAGAACAAGAATGGTAGATTGGTTTCAATGAACACAAAAGTGTTTATTTTGTAAATCTGAGAATTTCTGGGTACATTAAACAAATTGTTAAAATAAACGGATAATTTTTTCAGCGCGATCATGAATCGAGTTCCAGAGAACTAGAAATTGTAAATGCAGTTAAAGTCAAGTCACAGATACAACCTGAGTAGAGAGTGAGACTTAATAAAAAGAAAAAAAACAACTGATGCTGCATGGTGGTGGGATGCGCAATGCTTTCTTTTATTTTACAATGTTTTTACGTGACATAGTACTAGGGTTAAAAAGGGCTCTTGTCACGCAATATTTTGTTATACCCTTTGTTTCACCAGGCTAGGCTATGTTGCAGCTTGATTTGTCCAGGGAAAACAAAGATGCGCTGAGAATATATCTGAGGGCAGGGAACTTGATTCATGAGAACATACAAGTAAAAAAATTCAAGATTTAAAATTCAAGATTTTCAAAAGAGATACAAAAGAGATTCAAAGACCTAGATCGTCAATAAATTTTAAGAAAAAGCACAGAAAGTTGAACATCGATAAAAATGAAGGGTGTGAAAATAAAACGTATCTTAAACCTGCGTATCTTTGTTCAGAAATCAAACTTAAGTACAGTTATCCCACCAGATTTAGACTGCAATCCGTTTGTATAGAGGAGTAATTGTAAATGTGACGCTTTAAAAAAGGCGTTCAGATGGTGCTATCAAACACTCTGTTTTGACTTTAATGAACCTGAGGAAGAATGCAGCCAACATCTGGATTACTTCATAACGCAGGCATTTGCCTTGCTTCAGTTAAAGCTCACACCTCGTCAATGAAGTTCAGCATTTTGCCCCCCTTGAAGCTTGCCATAATTATGGTTTTGATGCTCATTGCACTGCCTACGCACTTCTTACAGTTATTTCAAAAATCTTTGAAGAATAGTCTTGCAGCCACATGACACTGAGATGAGGGTAGACACAGGTGAAAAATGAAGGATCAGCTCAAATTGCAGGTTTTAACATTCAAGTATTGAATTCATTGACCCTAAATTATGAACTGAAATTGTACGAGCTGCCAGATATTTGTGCCAAAAAAAAAAAAATGAGATGAAAGTGAAATTTACATTTTTTACCAGCAAAGGGAAACAGCCACTCATGTACTACGTGAAGGAGTAGTCAAGGTTTAAGTTTGCGGAGCAGTTTCTTGGTTCGCACTGGGAATTCAAAGAGGGCTAGGAGTGACAAAGTGTATAATAAAATTAAGAGGTCTTTATTGAAAAAATAGACAAATTGAAACCGTTATTTAAAGGAAATTTAGGGGTGAGGACTGATCACTTGAAAATTACTTCCCAAAAAAAAATTTGCATTCATTACTGGTGCATTATGAAAGGGAAGGGATGAAAAATAAATAGTACTTGAATGATTCCAGGATAACTATGTGGAAAATGCACAGATTTTGGTAAGATTCATGCAAAAAATTATTAAGAGAAGCCAAATTTATACATTGACGAAAACTAAACTCAGGACAACTTCTGTTTGACAATTTGCCAAATAAGCACTCAACTGACACAGAAAACAATAAAGACTAAGTAAGTAGCGGTTTTTCAAAACCATTGCTTGCTGTGCCTGCATTCAGACTTCTAATATGCCTAACAGTCAATCATTAGGAGTAGATTGAAGGAAAGGTGGATTCAAACACTTAATCTTTTAAAATGAATATTAGAAAAATAAAAAAGGTTCTGGTTCATTTTTCTTCAGCAGATTCAGAAAAGTTACAGTCTGTTAATTAAAAATAAAAAGGATGTTAAACCCAGAAAATTCTACAAATGCAGCAAAAACTCGCCTCTGAAGAGCGTTTTGCATTCATTCTTGAATACCAGTCGATATGTTGATTAGTGGTGTAATGATAAGTTTGCTTAGGTTCAATCCAAAGAGTAACAGTTCCGACTTTCTGACACTGAGCCTCTTTGATCATGAGCACACAATCTCAACCAACGGCTGTGTCGGATTTTGCACGCACACAGATCATTAAAAAATTCCTAGGTTTGCTGGAAGTGCAGAGTTACTAATTTGAAAGGAGGTGCAATAAACACATGGACGTCAGGACGCTTCAGATTAGAGATTAGCTATCAAGAGACAATTGAATGACTTTATTGGAGATAACATGGTTCAGCGGAAAAATTTTTCAGACAAACCATAAATTTGATATTCCTGAATGTGCTATGTGATCTGGCAACTTCGTTCAAAATATGTTACAAAAATATAATACACGTGTATAGCTATGTGCTAGTACGCTTGTTTTCACGTTCCAACCACATCGTACACTTCAGATAATACAAGGTAGGACCGCAGTGAATACTATTACCATCTTGTAGTAAAGATCCTACTGCAATTATGAGAATCGTAGAAAAAAAAAGTACAAAATAAATTAAAATTAAAAAAAAGGAAATTAAACTAAGTACAGGTAATTTCTTACGCAAACAACTTTTTCTTCCATTGCTCTGCGGAGCATAACACAGACTGTTGCTATTACTTATTCGGTTGGACAAGAAATGATTGAAATAGAGCAGTCTTTATCCGGCAGAAAGAAAGAAATCCCCGGCCAGGCCTGCAATGGTGGTGACTACTAACCGGAAAAGAAAATTGGTCCGGGAGCGGTTACAAGCAGTTCAATATTTTTCAAACTTTGGCATCTAAGATTCCTGAACGCTTTAACAACTTTGGCAGCAAAGACTTAAGAAAAAAACATTTGATTTGGCTTATAAGCTTCAAGTGCTTTCGGTGCGTGAGATGGATGTACTCTGATTCTAAAGATTGATGATTAATTAAGGGTATTGATGATACTCTGCACCCTTGGGCAGAGTTGGCAAAGAACTGATACATAAAATGAAAAGGATTTTGACTAATCTACTCGATAAACTTTTTTTCTTTCGATATATTAATGATTTGTGAGTAAAAATTCGAGCATAACTTGTTTCCAGGACTAGCCCAAAATTCAACAATCACTTCCTTCCTTGCAAGAGATTATGAGGTTGGAAAAATTGATTTGAATTAAAATGAACACGAATAAAGACTTTGATCTATGGATAATCAGAAGTTATGAAAGCACAAGAAAAAAAGAAAATTAAAAAAAAAACACCAGTCGCAAGCCTGAAAGGGAACATCTAAGGAGTCCAAAGTAGCCCAAGGGCAACAATTTCCTAAATTTTGCTCTTTCTGCCGGTTTCCGACACTCATACAAAAAAGACGAATACTAGATTCTAAAATAATTTTAAAAATAAAATCATACAGCTAAAAAAAAGCAAAACCTTACCATTCGTTCAACAAATAATAAGAGCTGCGTGGGTTCCACCGCTCTGACAGATTTTTTTCAGTTTAGATTGAGATATAACTAAACCTTCATGCACGATAAACATTTAAAATTCATAAGAAGAAAATGGTAAAATTATAAAAAAAAAAAATTAAAAATAAATTAATTAAATATAAAAAGCCTGTTATGCTATGCTGGTAGCGCTCGCTCCTTCACTGGATACAGCAGGAATTTTTGTGTCCGTTCTTCAAACGGGACTTTGGACGGTATTTTTCCAAGAACTGGAGTTGCTTTGAGTTGATTGCCCCTCTTCTGTTCCTGAAAATCAGAGAAGATAGAATTAGAATTTAAATCTTAAGGTATAAAAGAAAACACTCTGAGAGGTAAACGATCATACTTCAACAAAAGAATTCTATCAAAGTGGGGTGATCGGCAGAAATATTTGAAGCTACATCTGTGTGAACAGCGAATATAAACATCCGTCATTTGATACCGCTATTTTGAAATTTCAAAAAACTTCAAGAATATTGGTGCGGAGTTTCTATCTTTTGCTATAATTTTCTACAGAGATATGCAAAAAAACCGTGTTGTATATGTAAAAATATACAGATGTCAGACTTCGCTATTTTTCCAAATAATTTGCTGAATCTCATTAATATTGAGAATCATGTATAATGAGCACATTACACTGGAGTGATGAAAGGGAATGGACTTGCTGCATATTTTATTGGAAGTTTACTGCTGAGAGATGACACATTTTCCCTATTTCATTCCTATTTTAGAAGACATATTGTAATTTTTTCCGTATGCTCTATTAAAAAATGACCAAATATTTATTTTTTTCCAAAAATCATTTGACAATTCAAATGTAATCAAGTTTTGATTCATTTAAATAGTTCTGTTCTTTTACATTGGCTTAGTAGTGTATATGATGCTTTGAAAAAAAGCTCTCCGGGCGGATGTGGTCTTTTTCTTTAAAATCACTATATCTTAATTGAAACTTGCTTCAAATGTAAAGTTCTAAAGCTCATTATTTAGAGAAGAATTAGCTCCAAAAAAAATGCACTGACCGAAACCTATTTGCCTTACGGACATCTGAATGCCCAGTTTTGAAAACTTTGAAAGCGATTTTCTCATAACTTAAAAACTCGACGTCAGCTGTGAACACATGTATGTATGGCTTCATTGATCAATTTCGAAAACGGATTTATACCCAAAGTTGAACAGAAGCTGCGTTGGTGTGGATTGAACATTCGAATCTTGAATGTACAATGTGTTGATTATCTTATCTGACAAGAAAAGATGACGCAATCACAAGGTATGACTCAGCTTAGTTTTATCAAGGCGGTAAAATAGAGTTGGGTACACGCTATTTTGTGGGGAAAGCAAGGCCAAAAAATTCAAAAATTTAAATTAGAGTCGAAGATTTGAGCTCTAATAAGTTTAAAATGCTTAAAAAGTTTGAAATGGGAACATTCTCTCCCTCAGTCTAGTACTGATACTAATAAGAGCTTAAATTTTTCACTCTCATTGAAAATTTTGTTTTTATTTTGCCTTGTTTTCCTACCACCTAGATAAGTACAGTTCGGGCCACATTTTTTAATATTTTTTCCAAGACTTTTCAACTTACTTTGACAAAAATTAACTGATTTTTCAAAATTCAAAATTAGTAGTTCAATGGTAAACGATTTCTTGGATTTTATGTGAAGGGTTTCATACTTTTGTTTTCCCTGATTTTCGGTTTCGCTTGACTGTGGCAATCCTGGTTCTGAAATCGATGATAATATGTAAACTAGTAAAACCGAGGATGAAGGAATGATCTTTAGATTTGAGTACATTTTGCAATTAGGGGTTACAAATTCTGGCTCACCCACAAAAGCACTTATCGCGATGGGAGACTTTTTTTTTTTAAATTATTTATTTAATGTTATCTACTTATAAAGTTGATCTCTTAAAACATATAACACGTATAACATCTCTTACTCTCTACCCTCTACTTAAAACATACCTTTATTTACAGCCTGTACCCAGTGTTTTTCTTATTTCACTTATAAAGTAATTAAAACAATTTTGTTCAGATACCCAATACAATAAAAGGTTTACAAAGATAAAAGAGTAATATCTTAGTTCCTTGGATTAAGTTGGGGGAGGAGGGGGATTAGAAAATGATGAGGGGAGGAAGGTACAAGGAACTTCGTTGCTTTATACAGCTAGAAGATTTGTCTAGGTTACTTAAAAATGAAGGTCTGTCCTAGGGGAGGACAACTCCCATTAATTTATTCTTTTTAGCCTTCTCATTTCTTTAGAGTTGTCTATGGGAGACTAATAGCACAAATGTTGTTTCTAAAATGAGCCAGAAATAGTAGTTCCCGATTACAAAGTGTTGTCCAGTCCCCAAAATAGATACTTACTGTCTGATGAGCTCAACTGCATCCTCATATTTCATTCCAAGTTCGATGAGCGCAATAGCGACTAAGACAGGAGCTCGGCCTAAGCCTGCTACACAATGCACAGCCACGCAGGTATCACGATTTGCTAATTTTAAAGTTTCAAACCATTTATCAATCACCTGGAAAAGAAGATCACAGATTAAAATGAGTATTTTTTTTTATTATTATTATTATTATTATTATTATTAACTTCACAAAAATGTACAACCGCCCCTTATGGGGATGTCAATTACAAATTTTTTAAGGTTTGTAACATCAAGTACTTAACCTAATGATTAAAGTCTGTTTTTGTAATAAAAACAAAAACCAAAAAAAAATCAGTATTCTCTTTAAAAGAAAAAAAAAGAAAGAAAAGAAAAAAAAACTATATAGCGACAGTGACACTGCAAAAATTCGTGTCTCGGTTGCTGTATTTCAAAATCTCCGCTCTTATTTTACATGCTAAGAGGAGACCAAATCAATGTTCGAAAAATATTTTTTAGATAGAGAGGAAAAATCAATGAAGTTTTTAAAACACGAGGTTCAGTAGTTTGTCATATAAAAAATAAAATATGGCAGGAACTCTTCAGTGCCACAAACCAAGATACGCATTTCTGCAGTTTCACCATCCATATTTCTCTTTGTGACTTCTATTAGGAATCTTGATTGCAAAAGTAAAATCTTCACTGCTGATACACCACTGTTTTTTCCTGCATAAATAGGAATAGCCCAAAAAATTCGTGTGATATACATAAAACAAAAAACAAGCCTTGATTCATGCTTGCAAATTACACCTAGGAATACTGACAATAATATTCTCAAGTTTAGGCTATCAGGTACAGAACAACGAGGAATGGCAGGTACATGCCAATTTTCTTTTTCTTTATTTTTACGGATAAAGGCAATGATCTACTTAGACAAGGTGCAAATTTCAACTTTCTAGCGTATGTTTTCTCGCCGAAATTCACAAGGAGCATGATTTGTTCAATGAAAATTACTAAAAGTAACTACTAACCAAGATTATCAACGCTTTTTGAAACATAAATTCAAAATCCCGGTTCATAGAAAAACCTGAAGTCCACTTGAGTTAAATTGCGCACGTTTCCGTTAGTCTTTGCATTATGAAAATATGACCTCAATATCGACGCTCCAGCTCAGCTGTTGTACGTTATTTCCACTTGGAATGACACAGGAAGGGGGAAAGAACACTGCTCCTAGAGAAGCCTGCCAAAACCGCCTTGAAGCGTTTTTTGATTCGAGGGGACTCTTCTTTTTCTTATGAGCGGCAAATTCAAATTTTTCAAAGCCAATGCAAAATAAAAACATTAAAATCTTGGTTCGAAGTGAGTTTCAGTAATTTTCGTCGCCCGAATCGTGTAATTCATACCTTGTCTAGTGACCCATTCCAACTCCAGTCAAGAGATAGCATGTTTTAAAAATAAGTTATTCGCAAACTAGAACCGAAGAAAAAGGTCCAAAATTTGTTTCGAAGAAATAAAATCAAAGAGAGCTGCCTCTACAAACCCTGATTCTTGCAGGAAAAAAAAAAAAAAAAAAAAATCCAAAAAATTTCCAAGAAAAAAAAAGTTTCCTAAAAATTTCCGAGTGTGACGTTTTTCGAAAAAAGGCAGTTAATTATCCAATCAAATGTTAGTAAGTATCGTAAACAACTGATTAGGATTTCTATAATAAAGACTTCTGATAACTATTTCCTTTCTTCTGTTGCACATCTTTCTCATTCAGGGAAAGCACGCTGCACATTTGAGAAACGATAAAAGTATTATTAACATGTTAAAAAGTCACCCACTAATCGGAGGATTTTTTTTTTTTTGTTAAATTCCCAATAATTTAACAAAGGAATTTCCCAAGAATTTAACAAACCAAAAAAAAAATCCTCTGAGTAGTGAGTGACTTTTTAATATTTTAATAATATTTTCATAGTTTAACTCTGGTCTGGTACTTTTAGCCAATGTTTTAAATTTATCACATTTGAGAGATTTCTTAAAAATGTAGTAACAGAAACAGAGTAGGACTCACATGACTTGGAGGGGATGTGCCATCATCGTACGGTAGATCATAGACATTTATCCCTTCAGCGTTCAAGTCTGACGCTTTGTAGGTTGGCTCACACACACGAACTAGATTTTTTACATTGCGTTTCTTCAATTCCTGAAACAAAGAACAATCAAATCATAAAAATTCAGTTATTCTTCGAGATATCGATTGACAATTCACATTGATTTCAAAAATTAGAGTCAAACTAGGTCATTAATTTTGAGTTACGAGACAATTAGGTGGAACAAGTTTAAGAAACGTCAATTTTTGAAACTGTTCACACCCTGTCTAGCAGTCACTTCCTTGACTTTCATAGACTATCAATTCAGGGTTGCCACAGAATTTGGAAAATGAATTTCCCTGACAATTCCCTGGTTGGCACTGACACATGTTGGTGTCATCCCCCGACAATTGAAGATATGCCAGATGGTCAAATAGACATAATTAGAAATAGTTTCTGGGCAAAATTTCTTGTTGGAAACGTCAAACCCTTCTAGAAAACAAATAAAGGTGCTGATCCATTTTTCCCTGACATTGCCGTCAGTCTCCCTTACATTTCCAGGTTTTACCTGACTTTTTAAAATTCTCTGACATTTCACAGTTAACACGGTAATCTGGCTGTGGCAACCCTGACCCAGGTGGTTCGCCGGACGAATGTACTGCCGTGCTGAGGAAGAACGCCGTATGAGCAGAGTTGCTAAAAGAAATTTATTCATCGAATGAAATTTCACAAGAAATTTCATGAAATTTCTTTATTCCCCATGAAATTACTTCTTTGAATCTTTCACGAAATTTCTTAACTGAAGCCATCAGGCATTGCCAAATTTCCTTCGAAAAACAACGAATTTTCCTGCAGCTTCGAGCAAGTTTCTCGTCCGATATTTCGGAGGATTTGGTTCGAAATTTAATCTAAAAGGTCGTAAAATTTCAAGGAAAACTTTTCACGACTTTCTTCAACAATGGATTTTTTAAGACGAAATTTGGCAACATTCGAATGCTCATACGGCGTTTTTCCTTAACCCGGGAGTGCACCGCTGGGGCGTAGGACTGGTTAGTGGTCTGGTGAGTGGTCAGTCTTTCGGAGAATTTTCTTCGAAATTTGATCTAAAAAGTCGTAAAATTTCAAGGAAAACTATCCATGACTTTCTTGGACGATGGATTTTTTACGAGGAAATTTGGCAACATTCGAATGCTCATACGGCGTTTTTCCTCAACACGGGAGTGCACCGCTAGGGCGTAGGACCGGTTAGTGGTCTGGCGAGTGGTCAGTCCCCTCCCCGGACGCGGAGTTGATTCACGGACGTGAAAAACAATCGGTGGAAGCTCGCGTTCTGCCATGCGAAGGAAGAACGCCGTAAGAACATTCGAGAGTTGCCAAATTTTCTTCGATAAAATGTTTATTTTTAATGAAAATTATGGGCATTTTCCATGAAATTTTCAGGAATTTTAGGTGAAATTGCGCACAAAATTATCTGAAAAACTGGATGGTAAATCTTCAGAAGTTTACCAGGAAATTCGTGTTTTATCAGAGGAAATTTGGCAACACCTGAAGGCTCATACGGCGTTCTTCCTCAGCGCGGCAGCGTTGTCGTCGCATCGTCGTTGCAGCGGGTGCGGGTCGTCGGCGGGATCTGGGTCAGAGGCCTGGGCAACTGGGTCACCCCGCCTTCGTCTCTCGCCGTCTTCCAGACCGGCCGTCCGCCTCGAGTCTGGCTCTTCCAGACGCTATTAGTCATACGTCGTGACGGATTTAGAATATTCGATACCAATAGATCGTATTCGATAGTGGTTCGATGTATCGTTTGGTTCAAGACAATAGAACATAACCTCAAACCAAACTAACAGGATTTAAGTTGGAAAAGCTGAAAAGGAGAAAATTCCTAACAATTTCACTTTGCAGTGGCATTTGGTGCTCAAAGGAATACGAAATCTGTTACAAAAGACCCGTTCCCTCAGATTTCTGAATTTACTTTTGAGGCTATGTTTATGTTTTGAACCATTCGATATCGATACAATCTCACCCGTTTGATGTATCGAATACGATCTATCGGTTGAACCGTGTTGCCCAGGAAAGCAGTAACGCCCAACTTTTCGAAATAAAGCTCCTGGAGCTAAACCCTTCGAGATAAAAAGCGCCGGCGATAAAAAAAATCTGAGGATTTCACGGGAAGCGTGAAAAACTAGTGAATCGAGTCGATGGAAGAGGTCGGACGAAATTTGAAAACTTTAAAAGCTTAAAACGATGGCAGACGATCGGTTGCCCGAGTAGGTTTTCGATTGGGTTCCTCCCGGAAGGCGACGGCGTGGACGTCCTGTGAAAGGTTGGCGACAAGGGGTGGAGGAGGAGATCAGAAGGTGCCAATTGCCTAATGATCTCTGGGAGGATAGGGGGCAACGCGATTGGGCGTCGCAGAGCGCGAGGCTGCGCTATAAAAGCGGCTTTATGTATGTGTGTAAAAGCTTAAAACTCCGTTTATACAGAACTTTAAGGTTCTAAAAGTGGTTCCATTGAGTTCCTTGTGAAATTTTCTTCCAGAAACACACCTTGACATGAAAAATGTGACGAAATACACCGAAGTGAGCAAAGCAGTTTCAGTCAAAAATTTAATGTCCGACCTCTCCGATTTACTCGATCCATTGTGCGGTCATTCCAGTCGACGGAATTCCATAAATTGCTCCAAAACCATTCTGGAGTTAGTTTTTTTCTATTTCTGGATGAATCTGTGGATTCTCATCTCGCCGAGTCGTAAAGATATGAGAAAGTAAAGTCGGGCAGGCAAAGGTTGCTTCACTTACTTTACGACACGGATCTGATAAAATTTTCTACGCGCCGGGAGAACGAACGACGCAAAAACAAGCATTTCTCGCGATTAATTTTTCATCACTCATCTTCGTTGAAGGCGTGCATTACGCTTTCTCATGAGGTCTCTCAACATTCACAGCTTCATCTGATCATACAATCGTGCGAAAAACTTTCCGGCATTTTTTCAAACTTTCATACCTCTTCGACCGCGGAGAACAGACTCGCGCGCCCGAGAGAGATCCGCGATGCAACAATTTCGCGTCTTGAGTAGCTCAAATTGCATACCCATCGAAACGAAGGAAAACTCATCGGTACGATCGTCATTTCTTCGGTTTACGAGGGTTTTGTTCCTCCGCTAAGGCTGGTTACTCAGAATCAATATGAGCCATTTCGGATGATCTGATGTCAAGGTTCCTTTTTCCGCAAACGGTCAAATTCATTCATTTTCAATTCCTCATTTTCACAAAAAATTAGTGCGCGAAAATCATCTGGTAGGGTGTTCATAATTTTCACAAATACAGAGTGTCTACTGTACTTTAATTTTGGATTGGCCTGATATTCTCTTGATATTCTTGACGAAATTTCCTGATATTCTAGACGAAATTTCCTGATATTTCCCTGATATTCTATAGACGAACTTTCCTGATTTTCTGCGTAAATTCATTGACACTCGTTGGATTGAAACAAATCAACACATTTGACGAATTATGTATAGTGTTCGAAAAATGCTTGAAACACTCAAAATATTCTGACCCAAGACCGATTTTCCTAATAACATCGAATTTCCTGATATTTTCCGGTTTTTTCGCGTTTAACTGATGGTAGACACCCTCAAATAAATGAATCAGCAAAAGCAAAGGCATAAAAGCTCTTTTATACCACTGCTACCTCTGAGAGCAAGGATTATCAGCATATCAGAGACTAGCATCTAGGCGATGTTATTGGAAACGAGAGACAGACAAAACGAAACGATCGGAACCTCAAAAAAATGAGACAAAATAAGGAAAAAAAATAGATGAAATGTCCGTTCATAGCTCGCTGAGCTGAAGTCAGAGAGTGCGGATGGACGAGGTATAGTTGCCAGGTAGTGCTATCCCCAACTTAAACCCATGCAAAATATCTACATTTAATCGCACAGTCTGGCAACTTTGGTCGAGGGTGACCTTGGTCGGTGTTGTTCACTCGCGTTTTTCGTTGATGAGTGAGCGAATAAGCAGTAATGACTAACCACTCGCCGCTCCTGAAAAAGAGCGCCATGTGAGCCGTGTTGCCTACTCGGCCGATTTCAGGCGATTCATGCGATCCGATCATCCGTTTCCTTCCTCGGGATAAGAATAACTGGGAATGGAGATGTTGCATGAGTGAGGAATTTGCGATTTGACTGCAGATTATTATGTAAAAGATCGCGAGAAACACGATGATGCCACTGGTTTTCTCTGAAATCAACTCCCAAGCTCAAAAAAAGCTCTCAAGTTGAGGCCAAAATGGAGAGGAATTCCCACGCTATCCTGAGAGTCCACATCTACATCAAAAGTAACTCTCCATGCAAAGATAGGGGGCAAATATATTGACAGGGCTGCCACTTTAATGGAGATGTTGCAAATGTGAGGGATTTGCGATTTGACTGTTGTTTCTTATGTAAAAGTTTACGAGAAACACGATGGCGCCACTGGTTTTCTCTGAAATCATCTTCCAAGCTCAAAAAAAGCTCTCGAAGTGAGGCCAAAATGGAGGGGATATCCCGCCCTACCCTAAGAGTCCACCTCTACATCACAACAAACTCTCCATGCAAAGATAGGGAGCAAATACATCGACAGGGATGCCGTGTTTTCAGTTTTAGAGTCCCCAAATAAAGTGGCAGCCCTGTCAATGTATTTGCTCCCTATCTTTGCATGGAGAGTTTGTCTTGGTGTAGAGGTGGACTCTCAGGATAGCGTGGGATATCCCCTCCATTCTGGTCTCAACTTGAGAGCTTTCTTTGAGCTTGGGAGTTGATTACAGAGAAAACCAGTGGCACCGTCGTGTTTCTCGCGAACTTTTGCATAAGAATCAACAGTCAAATCGCAAATTCCTCACACATGCGATCTCCATTTTGATTTGAGATAATCCGCGCTGAATCTAGTCCCGATCGGAGTCATTCGAGGCTCTCGGCACCCACGAAATCCTCGCAATAAAAGGTAGATCGCGCAGCGCTTCGGGAATTAATGGAAACGTCAAATCTTTCAAAGTCATTGATCGCATCGGCGTCGGTCAGAAACTTTTCGCGCGCTGAGAGCAGAAAAAAAAGCTGATAAGAGAAAGTGTAAAAAAA